GCTCACTGCAACCTCCGCCTCCGAGTTCAAGCGATTCTCCTGCCTCAGCCTCCCGAGTAGCTGGGATTATAGGCGCCTGCCACCGCACCTGGCTAATTTTTCGTATTTTTACTAGAGACGGGGTTTCACCATCTTGGCCAGGCTGGTCTTGAACTCCTGACCTTGTGATCCACCCACCTCGGCCTCCCAAAGTGCTGGGATTACAGGCGTGAGCCACCGCGCCCGGCCTACATCATAAATCTTCTAAATGGTCTGCCTACTGTGATCTTTCCCTCCTCCAACCCACACTCCATATTAGTACTGTCAGTTCTAAACTGTGCATTCAGTCAAGTTACTCCAATGACTTTAAGAAGTGCAAACATCTCAGACTGGACTAAGGCCCTTCAGTAACTGGTCCCTGCTATCTTTCCAGCCTTATCTCCTCCTACTTCCCCTCACACACCTACTCTCTGATTACAGCAAGCTCAGAAAATCAACATTCTATCTTCTCTCCTCTTTATGCTTCTACACATGGCTGTTTTCTGTCCTTCTCCCCCACATCCTCTGCTATGAACTGAGCCTCATCCAGCATTCAACAATCAACTTGCGGCATCTCTGGACCCTCATCTCAGCTCCCTTCCTCATGGCTAAGCTGGGTATCTGCCCTCTCTGCCTCGCATGGGACTGTGGTGGTTAGGTAATTCAGTAAACTCAGGTGGAGAGACTGTCCCTCTCTCCAGCTCTAGAATACAACACTTGCTTAGCAGCTCATCAAGCAGCTACTTGCTGAATTAATCTCCTAATTGATCTATTTTTCCCCTATACTGCAATAGTATGTTTGTTTTGTTTTGTTTTTTGAGACAGGGTCTCGTTCTGTCACCCAGGCTGCAGTGCAGTGGTGTGATCACAGCTCAAAGCAGCCTCCACGTCCTGGGTTCAAGCAATCCTCCCACCTTAGCCTCCTGAGTAGCTGGAACTACAGGTGTACGTCACCATGTCCATCTTATTTTTTAAGTTTTTTGTAGAGACAGGAGTCTCGCTATGTTGCCCAGGCTGGTCTCTAACTCCTGGGCCCAAGTAATCCTCCCACCTTGGCCTCCCAAAGTGCTGGGATTAGAGGCGTAAGCCACCATGCCCAGCCTGCAATGCTACACTTTAACAACTAAGGTACAGAATCTATTAGTAATTAGGCCTCAGCCGGGTGCTGTGGCTCACACCTATAATACTAGCACTTTGGGAGGATAAGGTGGACAAATCTCGAGGTCAGGAGTTCAAGACCAGGCTGGCCAACATGGAGAAATCGTCTCTACTAAAAATACAAAAATTAGCTGGGTGTGGTGGCACACCTGTAATCCCAGCTACTAGGGAGACTGAGGTGGGAGAATCCTTGAAGCCGGGAGACGGAGGCTGCAGTAAGCTGAGATTGCACCACTGCACTCCAGCCTGGGCAACAAAGCAAGACTCCGTCTCGGGGGGAAAAAAAAATTAGGCCTAAATTGGTACCTCGAAGTAGACCCATCAATTTTGACAATTACTCTCATGAAGATACGATGGTCACACTCTAGCTGTCTTTCTGGTAACAGCAGGGATACATTTAAGACCATGGGCATTAACCTCAAGTTTCCAACTTCTCTATTTCTGCAGAGCAACTGCATAATCTTTTCCTTACTAAAAGAGTACAGCATAGTATAAAGTTTAAAATACAAGTGACCATAGCTAGGTACTTTTAATAATTTAACACTTTTCAATTTGATACGTTTTACTGAAAGCAAAGGAAACATATTACACACATGCATTACAAAACAAAAATAAAACAGCTGTGATCTTATTAGGTATCACCTCTTGAGATCACACAGATTTAACTGGGAAATACCAACTCATCTTCATTGTATTACAGATCTCACTGGTAGGTATGAAGTAACTTCTTCTAGTTGAATAATTTGCCTTTTAACCCATTACTCTAAATATATTAACAATAATTTGTAGCACCCAGAAATAAGCATTGCAATCCATTAGTTCTCTACTAGTTAACAATCAGTGCCAAGTTGAGACTGAAATAAAAGCTGGGTCACTATAGAATCATTAGATAATTAATTAGTGCAGGGCCAAGGGCAGAGTCAAAAAAAAGCTTAAGTGTCACAGAGTGCATCTGAAATCAGTCCAACCAGAGATGTGGGCAATAAAATTCTTTTATTTATTTATTTATTTTGAGACAGAGTCTCGCTCTGTCTCCCAGGCTGGAGTGCAGTGGCGCGATCTTGGCTCACTGCAAGCTCAGCCTCCCGGGTTCACACCATTCTCCTGCCTCAGGCTCCTGAATAGCTGGGACTACAGGCTCCCGCCACCACACCCGGCTAATTTTTTGTATTTTTAGTAGAGATGGGGTTTCACCATGTTGGCCTGGCTGGTCTCCAACTCCTGACCTCAGGTGATCTGCCCGCCCTGGTCTCCCAAAGTGCTGGAAATACATGAGTGAGCTTGGTCTCCCAAAGTGCTGGAATTACATAAGTGAGCCACCACACCCGCCTGGCCTGAAACTCAAAGATTTCCTATGCAGTGAGTGTGAGGCACAGCAGCCAACAGCAATGAAAGTTACCATATTTATCTCTGTCTAGCAAACTGTTCCTATAGCATCCTATAACCTGATGCCCACAGCAGCCCTAGTTCTGTTTTATAATTAAGAAAATTGGCCCAGGGAAATTAAGTGGCTCACACAAGAAGTGACCGAGACAGGATTTCAACCTGAAGTTTCTAACTACACTACACCCCAGGAAGGAGAACACTAGGTACTTGTGGCATAAATTAAACCAGTGGTTCCTTTATTCATGGAAAAAGCAAGCCTGTGCCTTCCCTGTGAACCTAATTTCTATTAATAAAAAGGAAAAAGAGAAAGAACTCACTATTAAGTGCAGCTCCATATCAGATCATTTGTCTTACACCAGTGAGGTAAAAGCACCCCTCCATTTTTACAATGGAGATACAAAAGACTCAGAGATTAAAGGTGACTTGTCCAAGGTCATGCAGCTCCTAGAACTTTACAGTTAATGACGGTAACAATAATTTGCAGCTGCTTTTATTGCACCCCTTATGACAGTCACTGTTCCAAGTGCTTTTACATGGCTTCTCTCATTGAATCTTCACAACTCTATGTAAACTAGGGACCTATTTTGCGGACGAAGAAACTGAAGCACGGGATAGTTAAAGGGGCCTTCACAGCCAGCATCTAATTATTCTAATTTCGGGTCCAGAATTTGGTACATTCATGTGCAATGAATGAACCAAACAACGTGGAAAGTGAGAGCAAAATCATCACAATTCTATCCCTAAAAATGGAGTCCTGGCTGGGCGCAGTGGCTCACACCTGTAATCCTAGCCCTTTGGGAGGCCGAAGTGGGCAAATCGCTTGAGGTAAGGAGTTTGAAACCAGTCTGGTCAACGTGGTAAAAACCCCATCTCGGCTGGGCGCGGCGGCTCAAGCCTGTAATCCTAGCACTTTGGGAGGCCGAGGCGGGCGGATCACGAGGTCAGGAGATCAAGACCATCCTGGCTAACACAGTGAAACCCAGTCTCTACTT